GTAACCTTGAGCATTGTTTCATATGTCTCTTGGCTTTCTGTATGTCTACTTTAGAGAAGTGTCTATTTAGGTCCTTTGCCCATTTTTAAATTAGGTTGTTTGTCTGCCTTTTGTTAAGTTGTATGAGTTCCCTACATATTTTGGAGATTAACCCCTTATCAGATGTATCACTGGCAAATATATTATCCCATACAGTGGGCTTTCTTGTAGTTTTGTTGATGGTTTCCTTTGCAATGCAGAAGTTTTTTTATTTTGATGTAGTTCCATTTGTTTATTTTCTCCTTAGTTTCCATTATCCTAAGAGATATATCAGTAAATATATTGCTCCAAGAGATGTCAGAGATTTTGGTGTTTATGATTTCTTCTATCATGTGAGGGTGTATTTAGATAAAATTAACATCTGAATTAATAGACTGACTAAAGTAGATTTCCCATCATAATATACGTGGGCCTCACCCAATCAATTGAAGATTGAAATAAAACAAAAGGCTGACCCTCCACTAAATAAGGGAGAATTTTCTTGCCAAATTATTTTTTCTACTAGGGACTGGTGCTTTCTAGTTTAGCAACAACTGTCTTCCTTAGGACTTGGACTGGGACATCAGTTCTGCAGATATCAGATTTGCCAACCTCCCAAAACCACATGAGCCAATTTCTTTAATATGTGTGTATGCATGTCTATATATAAAAGTGTAATATGCATATCAACTGGACAGCAGAATGACCAGTCACTATGACCTGCACTGATCACCAGGGGGCAGACACTCAGTGTAGGAGATGCCCTCAGCCCACAGGCCCCAATCACCCAATGGGGAACAAGGAACCTAAGGTGGTGGTGGCAGAACCATGTGGCAGCAAGCCAAGGCAGGTGTGAGTGAGCCTCACACACAGAGGGGGGGCGGGGGGAGGATAGAGGGGAGGAGAGTCAGCTGTCAGCAGCCAGAGAAAATCAGCCCTGATTGCAGGCCAGGCCTAGGGACCTTACAGTTGCATGAATTTTGCACACTGGCCTCTTATATATCTCATATATCTTCTATTGGTGTGTTTCTCTGGAGAACCCTGGCTAATACCATTGAAACTAAAGGCTCCTTTATTAGGAATGAAGGAGAAACTATTGTTTCTAGGAATGGGGTGGGAAATATATGATTACACAGGAGCATCTTTCAGTGCCATAAAGTAAGGAATTAATAAAAAAGCCCACTGAAAGAGCTCCTAAAAGCCAAATTGGAACTATCTGAGCTAGAAGTTAATTAATTAAAAACATATGATACAGTATTTGGTTATAATACAAAGTATAAAATAAATATTCATGGCACATACTAATATGAATAAATGACTAGGTAATAATTAATAAAGGATGATAGATACTCTCATGCAGAGAACTCCAAATCATTTACATAGGTGTTCCCACTTCAGAAAGGAAGAGACTAACTCTTCCCCTCTAAGTGTGGCTGTGCTGACTGACTTCCTTACAAAGGAATAAGGGGTAAAAGAGTAACTTTACAGTAGAGAAATCTAATGAACATTTCCTCAACCAAGTGATCAAGGTTAATATCAACAGTGATGCCACGCTGACAGTGTGTACCCTTGATCTGATGAGGTGGGAATGGCACTTACTCTGTCTTCCTCTATTTGTGGTCCCCTAATCATAAAGAGTCAATATACCTCACTGTCAGACTACACACTGGTTGAACTCAGAGCATTCTTGTCACTGACTACATTTTTTAATCTAACTGTATAACAGTTATTATATCATAATCTAGTCCTTCCTTAATGAAATCTAATACCTATTTACATTCAGATTTAGATGAAAAAGTAATTATTACTTAGACATGCATGGACATATTTGTAAGTGAAATGACCTGATATCTGGATTTCCTTCAACAAAATAAATAGAGAATACAGGTATAAAAAGTAGGGGAATTAGATTAAACCATAATGATAAAATATTGATAATCATTTAATTTGGATAATTGGAATATGTTGGTTGAATGCTATTCTCTTTAATTGTATCTGTTTGAAATTTTCAATAATACAAATTTTATGTAAGTCATAAAGTAGTCTGTCATACTGAGAAGAGCACAGATATGTTTGGAATTAAATTTCTGTGATGGGAAATTTAGGAACATTTCAGATGATCCACAACATGGTTCTAGAAAAGAGAGAAGCCCTGAGGTCAATGATATCTACATTGAATAAAATGATTTCCATGAATTACAAAAGGGGAAAATCAATATTTCTAACTTAAAATTATTAAATTAACATTTTAGTTGATATGTTAAATGTAAATATGTGGATGGGAGACTTCTGAATATAACCTAGCAGAGGAAAGGGAGGCATTTCCCGCTTCTCAGGATTTACTTACAAACAATAAGAACAAGAAACATAAAGGTTAACTCCACTCTCAATCACACAAAAAAAATCTTAAAATCCCTAAATTAAAAAAAAAAAATATATATATATATATATATATATATATATATATATATATATATATATATATATATATGACAAAGGTAAAGAATTGACTCACAATTATTAGGAAAACAGAGAGAGTAGCTTCCCCGAGCTGAAGATTTGAGAAAAGGCCAGTGGAAACATTCTCATAAACAAACAAATCCAAACCAAGCAACAGGAAAACCACAAAGGAATGCCAGACAAAGCAAATACTGAGGCTTTCCTACTTGCCAGGCACTATTGACTCATGAAACTCCCACTAAGCCGATGAAAAGGACACTTCCTCAGGTGCAAGTCCAAGAAGCTCATGTTGCAGCAGTCAGAACTGGGTGTGTGGGCTGGAAGCAGGTCCCCATATATCATGAAGTGTCAAGAAACTCTGAAGGCAGCGTTGAACAAGGAATCAGTCAAGGCTTGCTGGCAGCCTTGTGTTGGGGAAGCAAAGAAAGACTATGAATTATGAACCACTCTGTGGCAATCTTCTTTGGTATGCTGAATTAAATATTAAAATAATTATTTACCCCAGCCTTGTGTCATAATGGGAATTCCTGTTAGCCTGGAGATGGCCTTGGCCCCTCCTCTCAGAATCCTTTCTGCAAATTCAGGTCCAGAAGTAGCTCACCTCATTCAGAGATGAGCACTAGTCAGAAAGGAACCATTCCAGGGCCACCAGAAGATACTTTACTTTTAAAAAAAATTCAGGGACTAGAAAAAACAAAAAACACTCAACAGAAAAAGTCGCAATAAAATAACATTATATTGACTTTGAAAATCAATGAAATAAATACCATGACAAAATCAATAAAGATCTATATATAAATCAACATGATCTATATATATAAAAAACCCTAATATGCAAATAGACCAAATGGCAGAACAAACAACCGGTCGCTATGACATGCACTGATCACCAGGGGACATGTGCACCACTCACATGTGCTGGCACCACTCTCAACCACTGCTGATACCAGAGCTGCCACTTGCACCCACTGCTAGCCCCAGTCGCTTGGCACCATCAATGGGTGGGAGTGGCTGCTCCCGGCCCAACTGCCCCTGAGGGCTTCTCCGCTTCCCCTTGCTCCTGAGGTACAATCTGGACAGCAGCTGCCACTCACACCCGCTGCTGGCACTGGCCCCAATCGCTCCACACCATCAGAGGGTACCAGTGGGGCAGCACCATCAATGTGTGAGAGTGGGGTGGCTTCAGTAGGAGTGGAAGTGGTGCTGCTGGCAGACAGGGGACCAGGGCCTTGGTGGAAGGGGCTAGGCAGGGCCATGGAGAATGGGCCAAGATCCACCCCTGTGCTCACTACAGCCTCACATCCCACAGTTCCTTTCAAGGTACACAAATTCATGCACTGGACCCCTAGTGAGACAAGAAAAGTTTAAAACATTAGCCTGCAGAGCTCAGAAAAGAAGTAGGGGGGTGGGGTTATAGTCACCTGGCTGGCATGGCTCAGTGGTTGACCATCAACCTATGAACCAGGAGGTCATGGTTCAAATCCTAGTTAGGGCACATGCCTGGGTTGTGGGCTTGATCCCCAGGGTGGGTGTACAGAAAGTAGCCAATCAATGATTCTCAACATTGAGGTTTCTTTTCTCTCTCTCTCTCTCTCTCTCTCTCTCTCTCTCTCTCTCTCTCTCTCTCTCTCTCTCTCTCTCTCTCTCTCCCCCCTTTCCCTTCCTCTATGAAATGGATAAAAAAGGAGTTGTTGTTTTTTTAAAAGGCACAATAAAAATGAAGGCCAAACTGAAAGCAGTACAAAGAAAATAAGACATTGCTGAATGCATAATAAGAGACAAACAGGTGAGGGTGGAGAAAAGCCAGCATATATGAAAAAACAATCCTAAGTATTAAAAGAGAATCAAGAGGTGGGAAATAAAGTAAGTTTAACACAATTGGAAAAGAGAATGTATGTGGGAGTGTAGAAGAAATAAGTCTGGTCGTGACATGATACATTTTATAAAGCAGGGTGATAAGTACACAAGGGCCCATTGAGATGTTATTCTACTTATCTACCTGTGTCAAATTTTACCTTGAAGAAAAGTCATTTTTACCTTTGTAATCAAAAAAAAAGAACAGGATTCTTTCTATTAGGCATATTCAACAGCCTGTATTGAGCTTCAGTATTTCTGCTGAACGAAATAGCAGGTTGCAGAGGAGAGCACTTAGTACATTCTGATACACAAGCATAAAATGCAGAGCCTTTGTGTGATTCAGTGACTAACTCCTAGCTCACTGAATTGAGAATAGTCTTATTGTACTCAGATCAAGTCAAAGCTAGAAGGCAAGAAAATTTTCCCTGACTATAGGAAGCCAATATGCAATCTTCATATTTCATAACTTTTCTAATAATCCAGCTGTGATCTCACTGCTTGTAAAGCCCAACCCTCCCCAATCTGCAAGCTCACCTTCCAGGACTGAGCCCAGCCCATTTCCACTATATATAAACTGCTGCCTGCCAACGCATCACACACCTGCTGCTCTCAGCTCTACCCTCCAGCCTCTCTCGCCTCCTTCAGCCTTCTCATCTTCAGGAACCATGTCGAGCAAATCCACCATCAGGACCCAAAGCAGCAGCCACCGTGGCTTCAGTGCCAGCTCAGCCAGAGTCCCTGGGGGCTGCCGCTCTGGCTTCAGCAGTGTCTCTGTGTCTCGCTCCAGGGGCAGTGGAGGCCTCGGTGGAGTGTGTGGAGGAGCTGGCTTTGGCAGCAGGAGCCTCTATAGCCTGGGGGGCTCCAAGAGGATTTCCATCGGAGGTGGCAGCTGTGCCATCAGTGGAGGATACGGTGGCAGAGTTGGAGGTGGCTTTGGCTTTGGAGGTGGAGCCGGGAGTGGATTTGGCTATGGCGGTGGATATGGTGGTGGCCTTGGGCTCGGTGGTGGAGCTGGCTTTGCTGGTGGTTATGGGGGCGCTGGCTTCCCTGTGTGCCCCCCTGGAGGCATCCAAGAGGTCACAATCAACCAGAATCTCCTCACTCCTCTGAACCTGCAAATCGACCCCACCATCCAGCGGGTGAGGACTGAGGAGCGGGAGCAGATCAAGACCCTCAACAACAAGTTCGCCTCCTTCATTGACAAGGTAAGCCAGAGGACCTGTCCTCCAGTGGGAACCCAGAATCTCCAAAGTAGAGAACCAACACATGTTTTCTCGGGGGGAGATTAGGGTAGAGGGAAAAAGGAACTCAGACTGGCTCCCTCCTGGGATCCAATAGGCAGTAGCTGGTGGAAATCACTTAGAGATGTTGAATATCTTAAATGTCCCTCATTTCAGGCTAGAAATAATTCTCAACTTTTGATAACCCTAAAGCAAAGAAAAAGCAATGAGAAAATGGAATTTTTTAAAAAAAATTTTGTTTAAAAATTTTTAATTTTAAACAATTTTTTACCTTTGGAGGAAAATCTAAGACATTAAAAATAAAAATCCAATAAAAATTGCTTTTGAGCTTGGATAGTGGAGAAAAAATAAAAGAAAAAGATATTCTAGCTGGATTATAAAAAAAGACAGAAACACTTACATGTCTCATAGAAACACTAATTGATTTTAGAAACAGAGAATGACCATTCAATAGGGATATTTTATAGGACACTCACGCACTGAATGTGCAGTTAGAATGGAATCCATTTATTAATTAGATTTAAATTTTAATTATTAGATTCTGAACATTTATCTGTGTCATAACTAAATAAAAATGTTGTGCTTTATATAAGGGAAACACTACTTTTAAACTAGATGTGTGATTGCACTTGACAAGAGAAATATTGAAGGTCTCTGGTAGGTTCCGTTACTTAGAGGGTGAGAGCATCTATGTGTCCATGGGGGAACTTCACGGAGATCAGTGGGGTATGAATAGAAACAGTTTGAGGGAGCAAAACTGTCAGCTTGAGCCTCTATGCCAGTGGTTCTTAACCTTTCTAATGCTGCGACCCTTTAATACAGTTCCTCATGTTGTGGTGACCTCCAACCATAAAATTATTTTTGTTGCTACTTCTTAACTGTAATTTTGCTACTGTTATGAATCATAATGTAAATATCTGTGTTTTCTGATGGTCTTAAGCGACCCTGCTAGAACCTGTGGGTCAGGTTGAGAACTGCTGCTGTAGAGCCTAAGACCATCGGAAAACACAGATATTTACATTATATACACAGCCTAATGCTGTGACCACAAAGGCCTGACAACTCACATGACTTTCTTCCTTCATCTGGCAAATAACCACTTGTTCCTATAGGTACGCTTCCTGGAGCAGCAGAACAAGGTCCTGGACACCAAGTGGACCCTGCTGCAGGAGCAGGGCACCAAGACCGTGAGGCAGAATCTAGAGCCTTTGTTTGAGCAGTACATCAACAACCTCAGGAGACAACTGGACAGTATCGTTGGGGAGAGAGGCCGCCTGGATTCAGAGCTCAGGGGCATGCAAGACATGGTGGAGGACTTCAAGAACAAGTGAGTTTTGAAGAAATATGGGTCAATTTCCAGAATTGCACACTTCAAGACAAGGTTGACATGTGGTCATGATTTTGTAGCAAAATATGTCCATAAAAATGAAAAATCACAAATATTGCTTAAAAACAAACCTGAAAGAAATGAAGCAAAAGACCATATAGGTGCATAGGGAGAGTAAAAGAGAAAACAATTTAGGGACCTCAATTTCATCTTTGAGGCTTACTGTCAAGAAAGCTGCCCTTGGGTATACCCTTTATGGAAAGTTCTGACCCCAGGCTGCCTTTTCTGTATCAATGTCACCACTGACGTATGCCTTTCTCACTTTAGATATGAAGATGAAATCAACAAGCGCACCACCGCAGAGAATGAATTTGTGTCTCTGAAGAAGGTGAGCTGATTACAACCAGGGGTTCATGTTTCTTTTCCGAAGGAGGATTTCTCACATCTGAGAAGACAAGAGGTGGGGAGGCTAAAAGATGGGCAGATGGGGAAGGAGGGCTCAGCTAACTCCAGGGTGTTGGCTTATTCCCCAGGATGTGGATGCTGCCTACATGAATAAGGTTGAACTCCAAGCCAAAGTAGATGCTCTCATGGATGAGATCAACTTCACCAGAGCCTTCTATGAAGCTGTAAGCATCAACACCTTCGTTTGAGTTACTCTAATGGGGCTCTGCAATAGGGTGGAAGATATTGGGCTTGGGAAGCCTGTAAACGTTACAGGAGAAAATGATCTCACCATCTTATGTTCTACAGGAACTGGCTCAGATGCAGACCCACATCTCAGACACTTCTGTGGTGCTTTCCATGGACAACAACCGTAACCTGGACCTGGACAGCATCATTGCTGAAGTCAAGGCCCAATATGAAGAGATTGCTCAGAGGAGTAGGACTGAGGCTGAGTCCTGGTACCAGACCAAGGTGAGCAGTGACTGGGCAGCTGCTGATGAGTTTCTGTGTTCATTCCTTAAATACCAGCAAGACTATTAGACTTTACAGTGTAAATGCACTTCTAATGAAGCTGTTGGCTTCTCACAGAATGTGTACCCTGCAACGATAGAGTAGATATTGACAGAATTTATGTGCAATTCTGGTTAGTCAAAGAAACTCATGCAGGAGAAACGCTGATGTAGATAAGAATCTAATGATTTTTGCATTAGCTTCACACTGACTCTGCCTCTCAGAAAACCAGTGCAGGACATTGATGGTTCTGAAGAGAACTAGAAAGGCATTGGTTTCATGACAATGTTGGTCTAAGATTAGTGTAGAGCATCCAATGACCTAGTAACATCAGAATTTCTCAAAATCCCTTCTGGAGAAGCCATTACGCTTAATTTATTAAAAAGCCTGACACAGTGTGACAGTCGCTGTTAACATGTGAAAGCCCATATACATCAGCTTCTCTCCCTCTTTGCTACAGTATGAGGAGCTTCAGGTCACAGCTGGCAGACATGGGGATGACCTGCGCAACACCAAGCAGGAGATTGCTGAGATCAACCGCATGATCCAGAGGCTGAGATCTGAGATTGATCACGTCAAGAAACAGGTATGGTGGGGACTAAGGATAATAAAAGCATCCTTTTTTTGCTAGACCGCCACGTGGTCATTGATCATCATTTGTGATTCCTGGGAATTTGAGAGACAATAGGAAGAGGACACAATTCAGTGTCTATCCTAAGTGAGTTCTCAAGGTAGTTCAGATGGATCCCAACTCAAGAACATGATAGAAACAGGTGGACAAAACCAGTTTCCCCTGTCAGAGCTATAAAATATAGCCTAGAAGCATTGAACACAGATGACAGGAGAACAGTTGAATGGAGGAAACTAGGAAAGAAAAGGCAGGCCAGGAAGTGAGGAAGATTGGTGCAAATCTGCTCAAGATTCAAGGTTAAAAAAAAATGATAGTCAAGCAAAGACATCTGACAAAGACTATTGTCACCTAAAATTGTGAGGTGGAAGAATCGCATCACCTCCATGAGGATGTTTGTGATTTTGTTCAAGTTAGTGTGGCTGCTACATGAGATTATCAAAAGCTGTCAAGATTCAAAACAAGTTGGTGGGTACATTTCTTCCTTTGTCCCCTGATCTATATCTGCTGTAGTACCTTCCACCAGTCAGCCCCCACATTCTCATGCAGGGTAACTAATACAAAGGGGCACAGATTTTTTCAGATGAATCATAAGTTAGATAAGGTTTGCAGACTGGACAAAGATTGGATAGATAGGGTCTGAGCTGCATTTCCATGCCATCTGGGCTCTGGCTCTCTTCCTCACTGGGAATTAGGAACCACAGCTAGTCTCCTCTGGAAGACTAGATTGCAAGTTCATTCTGCTTATCTCTCCCTCTAGTGCGCCAGCCTGCAGGCCGCCATTGCTGATGCTGAGCAGCGTGGGGAGATGGCCCTCAAGGATGCCAAGAATAAGCTGGTTGAGCTGGAAGATGCCCTGCAGAAAGCCAAGCAGGACATGGCCCGGCTCCTGAAGGAGTACCAGGAGCTGATGAATGTCAAGCTGGCCCTGGACGTGGAGATTGCCACCTACAGGAAGCTGCTGGAAGGCGAGGAGTGCAGGTGGGCAACTTACAACCTCCTCTGTCATCTGGGTGCTTCTCCATGATGTGCAGCCAGTGAACACAAATGTAAAGCACCTAGTGATGGTCATAATTACTACTCTCAGAGAACCATGGAAAAGGCAGTTTCCCATGGGTGGTCCTCACATGGAGGCTTCCCACACTGGTCCAGTGGTGGTTCTCTGAGGTCTCATGGTCTCTGTGTTTCCTCCTTCCTAGGCTGAGTGGGGAAGGTGTTGGACCAGTCAACATCTGTAAGTATCATTGTTTGCCTCCCTCCCTTACCCTTGAGTTCTTCTGACTTGGCTCGGGCTGGCCGAATGAGCTCACCATATCTGTGTGTCCTGTCCCCCTCCCCTCCACAGCTGTGGTGCAGTCCACCGTCTCCAGTGGCTATGGCAGTGCCGGTGGTGTTGGCAGTGGCTTTGGCCTGGGCGGAGGCAGCGGCTACTCCTATGGCAGTGGTCACGGCCTTGGAGGTGGCTTCAGTTCTGGCAGTGGCAGAGGCTTTGGAGGTGGCCTCAGCTCTGTTGGGGGCAGCAGTTCCACCATCAAATACAGCACCACCTCATCCTCCAGCAGGAAAAGCTACAAGCACTGAAGGCCTCCCATTGGCACTTGGTCCAACATTGTCTCAAGGCCTCTTCTTCAGCTGCATGGCCCTCTCTTCAGGTTGCTTCTTTTCTCCTGTCTCAGATTTCTCTTGGTCCCTGGGTTAAGCTCAAGTTGCCAAGTCCTCATTTCCTTAATCTATTTCTGTTAGATCTGAGCTTTCATTAATCACCCTAATCAGTGTCACGCAGACATGTAGACATCTTTTTGATATTCCCATATTATTATCCGTTATATCAGTCTGCCATAATTCTGGTAAGAAAATGACCTATGCCCCATGAAAATTAAAACTTGACCTACATCATCTACAGAATGGGGAACCTTGCCTTTGATGTCTGACTGCCCTACTCATTATAACTCCACACAGGAGTTGTCCTTAGGACAAATAAGTTATCTTTCCATCAGTGTCCCAAGATGGTATTGACACAACACGCTCAGGTACAGAGTTATATTACTGCAATATTTTTCTCTGCTTTTTGCTTTCTTTTGTGTTCAATAAAGCATATTTCTAATAAAAGAATCTGTGTTAGATTAGTATCTCTGATTGCATATTGGTTCTGAAACTTTCTCATACCACACAATGATCCTCATGTTCAGAGAACCACTTCTCAGCTCCACTGACAATTTACCTTGCTTCATGCCCATCTGCATCAGTCAGCATTGTGTGATACTCAGCTATCCTGTGAGTCAATGACTACCAACAACTATTCAGTCATCTGCTACTCAAGTCTCTTTCTCAGAATGAAGAGTGTTTAGAGAAAAGGAAGCCAGAGTCCTGGAAGCTAAATCAGCATAACCTCATAATTGAGGGGTTTTGTCTTTCAAGGTCCATCATTTGGTGACTTTGTCTCCACCCAGATCTCTGAGACTCTCATAGATACCCCTCACTACTCCTGCCCAGAAACAAGGAAACACTGTATTGATCCAGCAAGAGAGGCCAATTGGTAAGAGGCAAAATGCTTGATTCCTCTCTATGATAATGAAGACTTTTGCCACAAAGCTAGTTGCCCTTACTAGTATATATCATCTTGAGATGTATTAAACCAGTTAGTACCAAAGGGAAATAACCCCAGATCACAGTAGATGGATTAATAAAGCCACACAGTGCTAAATGAGTTGGGAAAGACTTCCTTTGCATCCAAAGATAGTTGGATTCACTGAAGAAGTTTTCTTGACAAATGCTGGTTAAAATTTATAGACCTGTAAATTTGATGGTCTATTAATTACATCTCCATAACTTTGAAATAAAATAAGTCAATAAAATATATTAATAAAAGCTCTTTTCTGAAAAGCTATTGGCAAAAAGATAAGATTGAACAATGGTCCATGTGGACAAGCAGGTAGGTGGTTCTAGCTGAGAACAATCTCCTTTTATGATGAGATATCCAAAAACCATTTTCAGTGTAAAGATGCATGCAAATTTTGATAAGCAAAAATAGATTTTGGAGATTCATTAAACTCTTCCCAGATATCAGTGTCAGGATTATATTTTGACTTTTAGACAGAAATGGATTCTATCTTTCAGGCCATGTTTGTACAAGCTTATTCTAGAATTTGGCTAATCGGGTATTTTATGCCCAATCTTATCTATAGGCATAAATAAATAAATAAATAAATAAGCAAAGAAAACTTCTTTTTTTTTTTTTAATTCAAATCAATCTTTATTGTTCATATTATTACAAAGGTTCCTCATTTCTTCCCCCTCCACCAGGTTCCCACCCCACCCTCCGCCCCTTCCCCAACCCCCATTGTCCTCATGCATAGGTGCACAGTTTATGTTCAGTCTCTTCTTCCCTCCCATTCCCTGATAGTAAATCCCTTTTCAGATAGTAATTCAGTTACTTAGCATTTTCTCATATCAATAATACCTCCACATGCCCAATGATACACTTCACACAAAAGACATTTCCCAATAGGTCAACTAGCCTCATCCAGGCCCCACCCAAGGCACTCACAGATCAACACCCCAGCCCTATACTAACTCAACACATCCAGATCTAAGCCTTCATCACTTGATTCAGCGGACCCTCAAGTTCCCGCGAAAGTTTCCAGCCATGTCTGAGAGGCAGCCGTGAGGCAGGGGCAGACGAGGAGCGAGCTGTTCTGGGCCTGGCTGCTCAGGGCCTGGCCTCTGTTGCTCTGGTTCGCTCCACAACAAGCTGCTCCGGGACTGGTCACTGCCGCTCCCGACCTAGTTGCTCTGGACTTGGCTGCTGCTGCTCCGGGCCTGGCCGCTCCCAGCCTGGCAGCCGCTGCTCCAGGCCTGGCCACACCCGACCCGGATGCTCCGGGCCTGGCCGCTCCCAGCCTGGCAGCCGCTGCTCCGAGCCTGGCCGCTCCCAGCCTGGCAGCCGCTGCTCCGGGCCTGGCCGCTCCCAGCCTGGCAGCCGCTGCTCCAGGCCTGGCCACACCCGACCCGGATGCTCCGGGCCTGGCCGCTCCCAGCCTGGCAGCCGCTGCTCCGAGCCTGGCTGCTCCCAGCCTGGCAGCCACTGCTCCGGGCCTGGCCGCTCCCAGCCTGGCAGCCGCTGCTCCGAGCCTGGCCACTCTCAGCCTGGATGCTCTGGGCTTGGCTACTGCTGTTCTGGGTCTGGCTGCTCCCACCCCGGCTGCTCTGGGCCCGGCTTCTCCGGGCCCGGCCACTCCGGGTCTGGGTGTTCCTGGACTGGCCACCCTGGGCTTGGCCGCCTCCACCTCAGGCCTGGCTGCCACTGCCCCAGGTCTGGCTGCTCCAGTGCTGGCTGTTGCTGCTCTGGGGCCTGGCCGTTGCTGCTCCGGGCCTGGCTGCCACTGCCTTGTGCCTGGCCACTCTAGGCCTGGCCACCACTGCTCCAACATTCTGTCCTTTCTTTCTTTCTTTCTTTCTTTTTTTTTTTAAACGCATTTATGTTGCAATTTTGGCTGGTGAGTTGAGTTCTGACTTAGTCTTTGATTTTTCAAGAACTTCTTTGTATTCTTTCTTAAGTAATTTTACTATCTTTTGCTCTCACTTGATTTCTTCACATTGAGAACTTCATTGGTTTCTTCCTCCTTGTCCTGGGAGCTCAGCAGGTTGGCCTGTGGCACCCCTTTGTTCTCCGCGGGCTCCTGCGCTGCTTTAGCCTGTTGCCAGGGACGGCGCCGCCCAGGAAGCAGCCCCCCCCTCCCCCCGGCCTTGGCTCCATTGCCAGTGCTCAGCGGTGGAAGGCTCAGGGGCTCCCCTCCCCAGGGTCCCCGTCGCCCAGCTCCTTGCTGGTTCCCGGTTGGGCGTCGTCCGGCAGGGGCTCCTGCTCCCTGCCGCGTTCCCCCAGTCCGGAGCTTTTTTCTCCTTCTCGCTAGGGGAGTCCAGCATCAGAGTCAACAGACTGTCCTCTGCGTGCAGTTTGCGCAAGTCCCTGGGCCTGGCCTTTCGCAGCTCTCCCGGACTCCACCTCACAGCCCCATTTTCCTCTGCCTGAGTCTGGGTCCCCAGGGATTGGCCCAGAACTGGGGTTCGGAGCAGTCCGGACTGAGGCCCAGCGCCACCGGAGGCCTTGTTTCTTCTGGCTAGGGTAACCCAGCATCAGAGTCAACATTCAGTCCTCTGTGCGCGCATTGCGCGCGACTCCGGGGGCCCTGCTTTTCGCTGCTTTTCCACCTCACAGCCCCGTCTCCCCCTGCCAGAACCTGGGTCCCCAGGGTCTGGCCCATAACTGGGGCTCAGCACTGCCGGTTCGGGGGTTCAGCCCAGGCTGGGGGTTTTATTTCCTTCCTGCTAGGGAAGGAAAGGCAGCACCCCGCCCTCTCCTCCTCTCCGGCTGCGACCTCTCCGTGCGCCCGTGCGGGCGGGCGGGCGCGGAGCATGTCTCCGTACCTTAGGCTTTTTTTCAGCTCCTCTGATTTTCTTTCTGGTTTTCTCTTTCCTTCTTGTTGTAGAATTTTCAGTCAGTCGACTACCTGTAGCTCTGGGCAATGTCTACTCTACATCTTAGTTGTATTCCATTGAAATTGTTGTGTGCTGCCGCGGCTAGATGTCTACCCGAGCAGCCATCTTGGATCTCTCAGGAAAACTTCTAATAACAACTACAATCAACTCAGTTAAAATAATATTTTTATAATCTGAAATCATGGTACAATCCCTGTGAGTCAAGTTACAGACTAGCCTTGTTCCATAGTTGCCTGCAGGTTGGTGAGAGTCTTGCTGCTGAGTTGGTCACTAAGCAGAAATTTGGGGTGCAAAGAGACTTTTGATAATTAGCGACCTCCCTACCCTTCTATTATATAGACATGAGGTTTGAGATCAAGATCAAGGACATGGTGGAAGCAGAGCTTAGGCACTGCTGTGCTGTATAAATCCTAGAAGCTAATAGGGAAACTTCCCAATGATACATTCTCAGACTCTGGTTATCTCTCTCCACATGAGAAGCTCCATGAGAATAGGTTACAGGCCTCCCTCACCACCCTAGAGTCAAGACCAGCTGAGTACTCAGTTCTGCAGTGAGCTTGATACAGAGCAGACACCTATCTCAATCACCTATAAATAGGGCCACCCAGACAAAATAGAGAGTGCCTGCTTAAATTTGAATTTCACATAAACAATTAAAATAAATTCACATAAGTATGCCCCAAATATTGCATGGAACATGCTTACACTAAGCAATTATTTGTTGTTTACCTAAAATTTGATTTGAACTGTGCATCTTGTATTTTTATTTGCTAACGCTGGCAACTCTACCTATGAAGTAGATCTGCTCTTGTACTGGACTACAGACAGGGCACTACTGCTCGGGATCTCTACTTTAAAGGTGCAGACAATAGGCAAGGACCAAACTTAAGACCCTTTCCTCTAACCATCCCCTCTCTTCTACCCCAGGCCTATTCATGTATTCCATTTGTTCTACAGTTTCTCAGGATTGACCCTGGGGGAGGGAGACAGCATGACCAGCTGGTTGGCCAGCTTAGCTGGAACTTGAGCCATGGACTTTTTTTTTTTTTTAAGGACATTGTGTTTATTTATTATGTATGTGACTT